CGGGCCTGGGACTTGACCCACAGTCAACTACATGGGAGTCCAGCAACATAACCATTATGCCATCTGCTGTTCCCTGTCTGTGGTTTTAAAGCCCCTGCCAAATTTCAATTCATTGCATGCTAGTATTCTGAATCATGACCTTAAACATGTATTAAAACTATTAAAAAAAAAAAAAACTATAATAAAAATATTAAGTGACCAGACCCTGTTGAGAGTAACCCCCCTCAGGTGCATACTTTATCATGAATAACACTTTAAAAAGAAAAAAAAAACAAACAGTACAGTTTACAAAGCATCTTAAGAGTAGTTACATCATAAAAGGATGACTTCATTTTATTTATTTTAGTTTCATTATTATTATTTAAATTATTTTTATTATTATTTTTTAATTTGCCATAGGGCACATGCGCTCACCAGAGAGAGAAAGAGAGAGGGAGGGAGGGAAAGTGAGAAAGCAAGCCACCAGGTCCAGGACTCAACCTTGGTGGCTCATGTGGGAGTCCAGCGCCTTAACCACCACGCCACCTGCTGGCCCCAGCGCTGTTTTATTAATAAATAGTCGGGCCTTCTTTAGCTCAAATGCATCACCTTTCAGAGATGTAACAGCAAGAGCAGAAATCACTAACAACCATCGTCTCCCCTTCAACACTACCTTTCAGGCCCATCTTGTTCTTGTCCATGGACTCTTTGGCTTCCGGAGGGATCATCCACTTTCCTCCCGGTCCTTGGATGGCAGTGACATTGCGCTCCTCCCACTGAATGGGCGCCTAGATGCCACCACAGAACACAGTGAACTGGAGAGACTTAGGCTGGACTGACACGCTACAAAGGTCGACAAACTGCTTCGACTTTGAAAGCAACAGGTAAAAACACAATGAAGGTCCAGAAAGGTCTTGGCATGCAAGAGATGACATTCTCTGGAGCCCAGAGGGACTCCCCACATTACCCCGGCCCAGTCATTACACCCTGTGGCCACCTGCCCACTTGCTATTTCAACAAGGATTCCAGGTAGCTATAATTAGAACATCTAAAGACTGCAGAAACACAGTTGGTAGAAATAGCACACAATACTGATACCCAGTACTGACAGACGGGTGAGCCTTGAACGCACCATGCTGTGTGAAAGAAGCCAATCCCAAAAGACTAAGTATGAATGACTGTATTTCATGCAATGCCCAGAACAGGCAACTCTATAAAGACAGAGAGGGGTTCATGGTGCTCAGGGCTGGGGGTGGGGTGGGAGAGACCACAGAACAGGAAGTGCCTGCTAAAGGGTATGGGGTTTCTTTCTGGTGATTAAAATGTTCAAAGATAGATTGTGGTGGTAGCGTAACTGTGCATGTAGCAAAAACCACTGAAGTGGGCCCAGCAGATGGTGTAATGGTCACGTTGCTGGACTCTTAAGTAGTCGATCACAATTTAAGTCACAGACGCGACACTCATGTGGGTGCATGTCCATGTGTCCCCAAAATCCCAAGAGGAGACTGGAAGAGAAGGGATTGCGATGTGGCCATCCTCTCTGGAGAGTGATTTCTCACCTTCTGTCTCTCTCTCTCTCTCTGTCTCTCTGGTGAGCACACGTACCCTATAGTAAAAAATCTCTCTTAAAAAAAAAAAAACCAAAAAACAAAAACACTGAATTCTATACTTTACATGGGCAAATAGTATGCTATGCTATGTGTCTATTATATCTCAGTGAGGCTGTTAAAAATAAATAAATAAGAGGCCAGAGGTGGCATGGTGGATAAGGCAGCTGGATCCCACATGGCTGAATGTGCAGCTGAAGTCCCCGACCCAGTGACCTGAAAAACATGCTGAACATGTGTGTCTAAGTGCTCTAAATCCCCAAAGGATGGAGGGATAGAGGAGACGGGACTGCAGCAGGACCATCCATCCCCCATAGGGGGCATAGGGGTTTTTTTCTCTTTTTTTTTTTACTTTTCCTCTCTGTCTCTCTGGTGAGCACACACATCCTCTGACAAAGGAAAAAAAAAAAATACTAGCGAAGGTTTGAAGACAGTTTAAGGCATAAAACTGTGCCTCCATCCTTCACTGTGTGCACACGACATCTGACAGCCAGGCACTGACTGAGACTGTCTGAGGACAGGAGAGAATGAGACATGGTCCCTGTTCACGAGGCGCTCACCTCGGAGGGGGCGGCCATGCTGCACGGCACGTGGGAGACGCGCCCCTGCTGAAGCAGCACCTCCTCCCCGTGGGAGTGTCAATTAGAAACACAGCAAACAAACGTCATGCAGTCTCAGTAAACTGTCCCTTCACTTATCACAACAGCTGCTCATTTATTCGGACACATGATTTCGCCGAGCACCCGTAAATAGCCATGACGCTTCATGTCAAACAAAGACGGGGGCCCTCAATCCCCCAGAAGAAAGTATTTAAAAATACCTAACTGCAAAGAAAGCTGGCTTGTTATTAGTAATAATATCTCTCCTTGATGATAACACACCAGGAATTTTCTTTTTAAAGATTCTTTTGGAATCTCCCAGATGGTTTTTTGAAATTTAAGTCCTATTCTCTATTTGGCAGGAAATGTATTATGGTCTTATGAATCCCTCGTGGCATAGAATGAGGTAAACAGATGACCTGGCACGGCTTAAATTCCTTAAACCCAGGCTGGGGTCAAAGATCTACCACAAACGTCATAGTGCTCCTTTGGTTACTCTGTACGTAACAGATGTCAATGGCGTAGCTTCCCTTGTCAAAAATGGCAGTAGCGGGGCCAGCAGGGGGCATGGTGGTCAAGGGCACTGGATTCCCACATGGCCAACTACGGTTCAAGTCCCGGACCCAGGGGCTTGCTTTCTCACTTTCCCTCCCCCCGCCCCTCTCTCTGGACAAATTAAAAATAAGTTAAATGAAAAAAATATTTTAAAAAATGAATGGCAGTAGCAGTCATTACCCAAACATGCGCCATCAAGGTGACAATCCATGGGAACAAACAACAGACCTTCCCAGTTTGATAAAAGTATGTGCAGTCCCTTCTAAAAGGTCCCGGAATCCAGCTGGCTAAGAAAACCTTCCTGCGAATTACTATTAAGCATATGTTTAAAGCCCACTTACTTTGGCAGCATCAAATATCTTCATAACTGCAGCTGAAATCTCTGGGCCAATACCATCTCCTGGAATTAAAGTTACTGTCTGAACCTGAATATAAGAGATCACCAAAGAAGACAGTAAGAATTTATTTTGGAAGGTTTACAAAGAATACCACTGATAGAGAAATTCACTGTGTGTGTGGGGGGGTATACAGAAAAACTGAAATGGCGTGAAGAAAAGAAACCTCCCCCAGCAGCATGGAAGTGGAGGCGAGAACCAACAGACAAGGGACTCCACAGTTCTGCTCCTTCCCTGAGTTCCGAGGCTTTAAAAAGAACTCAACTGATGCTCTTTAGATCAATGGAACTAAACTAAACTACCCAAGCAGACTTCTCAACTGATGTGATTCACAGACAGACCACAAAGAGGCCAGTTGAAGGCCGGCTCTGTGGCACAGCAGGAACGCCCTGTTCAGAGAATCTGGATCCCACATGACGACCACAGCTGGGATCCCCAGCCCACACAGCTGAACCGTGCCAGGGCGGGAAGCGGATCACGGTGTAACCAGTCCCTGTGGAGGGTGCTCACCTCCTTCTCGTTCCATCTCTCTCTCTCAAGTGCGTGCACACGTACTTTTATCATGAATAAAGAACAATTTAAAAAGACCAATTTCTTTATGCCTGTAAATCCAAAGACAGCAAAAATACTTCTAACAATGTTCTCTCACTACAATATAGAGGGCTTCTCACGAAGGCAAGTGTTTTCTTGTCCACTGTGATGCTGAGAAGTTTTGCAGACACATTTCCAGAGAATCACTGGAGGTTAAGGCACTGAACTCCCACATGGCCACCTGTGGTTTGAGTCCCAGGTCCAGTGGCTTGAAACTCATGCCAGGCACATGTGCATGCATGCCCCAAATCCTGAGAGAACAGAGGAAAAGAGACAGCAGTGTGGCCATCCCCCCTGAGCAGGGTGTGATTTCTCACTTTCCCTCTCACTGTCTCTCTGTCTCTCTGGGCAAGCACACATGCCCTATGGCAAAACATAAAACAAAAAAATGAATATTTTATCTTATTTCTTCCAAAACTAACCCCTTCCATCAGGCTATTATTTTAAGAAAATGCATAGTCTGAAATCTAAATAATAGCAGAGAGCAATGATCATCTCATCAGCGTTGGGAATGCATTTGAAATGCCTGAGCTTGAAGTGCAAGCCTCACTGCATTTTTGCATAAGCAGAGCCAAAAGAATCCTTTGGCTTCTTCTTCCTGTTCTCCCAGCGTATGATAATAAATCGTTATCAGGCCGCCAGAAAAATCTACTTTTCTTCCATAGTACAGAAAGCAAATGGGAAAAAAAAAAAAAAGTATTATGGTCTTATACACCCCTCACGGCATAGATGTGATATGGGAGATTAGGAATTACGAAATCCAAATCAGATTCCGTAAGAAGAGGGTGAATAAAAGTGAACAGGGAGTCGCTGACCCACAGTCTTAGACCGTTCCAAAAATATGGTATCAGCTTTTCAAAGCAAAGAACTCTAAGGCCGGGAATTCTAAAAGCAGATTTGGCAAGCAACAGATGATCCGTGAGCACGGTGGTCTCTGGAGACAGCACAAGGAAAGGATAAGCCCCACGGGCTTGCACTGGGCTTGCATTGGGCTGTCGGAAAAGTCACGATGCATTTTTGCATAATACATGATGACTTTTCCCACAGCCCAGTAGATGGAAGGCATTCTTAACGGGCACTCAATCTACTGTTTTTAGGGAAGCTCACAAAATAAAAATGCAAAGCAGGTTTTGAAGCTTCTCAACAATTTTCTCTCAACTTGCAGTGGTTTTGGAAAAAAGAAAAACAAAACTGTCTTACCAAAATGAGACTGAAATAAAATAGGCTCAAGGGTAATTTCTATCTATTTTTAACAAGGCTCCTTCAAGATATTAATGTGACAGGCATCCGTAGCCAGCTGTAATATAATTCTTTCAAATGTGCAAGTGACCTAATAGGTCTGTGCATATATTAGCTAAGAATTGTCACATACGTTGTAAGGATGGCCAATTTCCCCTAGTTTTGAACGAATGGGAGATAACATGCTATATTATGTATTAGAGCATCTTTCTTGAGAAACTTCTAAAAGGAAAAAATAAAAGACATAATTATACTCACACCACCAGCAAAACCTCTGGTCACCTGTTTTGGGTTGTGGAATGCGCCCAGCAACCGAGAGACCTATATTAATATCAACAGAAAAATGTCATGTGTACACAAGGAGATCACATAGAGTCAACAGTGGAGAGGAAATCATTTCCAGTTGTCTGAAAGCGCTACACATTTACAGATATACCCAGGAACCTTCTAGGAATGCTTTTTCTCATGTATTAATCCAATGGAGCGGGGCCAGCAGGTGATATAGTAGTTAAGGTACTCGACTCCCACATGGCTGACCATGGTTCAAATCTTAGACCTGGGAGCTTGAAAATCATGCTGGCACATGTGCATGCATGCACAAATCCCAGAAGAAGAACAGAGGAGGGATTGCAGTGTGGCCATCCCCCCGGAGGGTGATTTTTTTGGCATAGAAAAATATGCTATAACTTTCCCAACAACCCAATATAAATTTTAAAAGGTTATTTTGAACTTTAATAACTCATTTTTTAAGAATGGGTACAAAATTATATCACATTATAATAAACAATTAAAAAAAAAGAAGTTGGGTTTATAGACCAAAGGTATTTAAATTCATTAAAAATTTTAAAGGTGACTTTTATCACACTAGATAATATGATGGGCTATTGAAAGGGAGTCACTTAAAAACTACTCTGGACGGGGACAGCGGGTGGTATAGTGGTTAAGGCGCTCGACTCCTACACAGTCGACCACAGTTCAAGTCCTGGACTGAGTGGCTTGAAATATCATTTTATTTCTTTAAAACCTGGAGAGATAGTTAGTGGCATTTTCAGATGAGAAAGCTGAGGCCAGGCTGGCAGAGCCTGGACTGGAACCCTGAAATTCTGACTTCAGGCCCTGGTCCATGTGAAATCCGGTCTCTTCATTTCGTTTTTGGCCTTTACATTCCAGCTGTGAGATGTATAACTATGTTGTTGGCTCTGCGGTAAAACTTGGTCAGTGAGTGCTTGCTGATGGGGAACTGGTTTGTCATAATTACAGCATTTTGGGGCTAGGAAAGTCTTCCGGAACCCTCTAGTTTCTCAATGTGAGCTGCTTTTAAAAGTTGCAGATCCTTATTTAGATAAAGCCTTAAGTGGAGCTGCTCTGATTGAAACCTGTATCCAGGGCCAGCAGGTGGTGTGCTGGTTAGGATGCTGGATGGCCTACTGTGGTTGGAGACCCAGACCCGGTGGGTTGAAAATCACAACAAATAAACAAATAAATGTCTAAAAAAAGAAAAGAAAAAAAGAAACCAGCACCCAGCTCAGCACCATCCCCCATCCTGGGGTTGGTCTCTGAGGCACCTTCTGCTCCAAACCCCAAAGGGAGCAACTGACCCAGAGGTCATATGACTGCCAAAGGTCACAGAGAGAGACCACGTAGGAGACCCTCATCTTCTGACTCTACAAACCTGTAGTTTCTGAACATCTACTGCAAGGGGGTTTTTCTTGTAGACTACATTAATGGCAAAACAAATTTATCAGCACAGCACCTTCATTAGCAAGCTTATCAAGGGTTGTTTTAGTTCCTCATTCTAAAGTCTTAATGTACCTACTAAAGATGAATTAGGAATTAAGTGTAAGCTCAGCGATTAAGGGATTGAATTCTGTTTTGATAGTGACATAGAAGCTGTTGTACCTCGAAGAGCAAACATGACACAAGTTATCACAAGGAAATCTGCTCTGAGGTGGGTGACAAAGTTGAATGTAGCTACTGAGCAAAAAACTCAGCTATTGATGCCCAAGAACCACCATTGGCTTGATGATTGCCAAGATAAATATATTGATAACTAAGTAAGTTTCAGATGTTTGTGTTCTTTTACATGTACCAGGAGCTTTCACATCTATGATTTAATCCTCAAACAACTCTGTGATGTAAGTATAGCTATTACATACATGGGCCTATAAAGGCTCAGAAATGTTAAATCATTTGCTCAGGGTCACACAGCCAATCCGTGGCACTCCCAGAATTTAAATCTAAAATTCCTAAATTCTAGCCCAGAGATCTTTTCACTAAATAATAGTGCATCTTGGGATCTCGCTTTAAACTTAAAACGAAAGGGAAAAGCAGTATCCAATTTTCCAGAAAAAATAAAATTGCTTTTGGTAGCTTTGGGAGGGGGTTGCATTAATAAAAACAGGGACCTGGACCCATTTCCCCAGCGTGCATAATTTGCTATGTGAAACTTGGCCACAGAACAGGCAGATTGGGGCTGAGAAGACACCTGGGCTCACTTCCCTGCTCTGACATCGACCTCCTTGTGACCTTGAGCACAGTCTTCTTCAGGAGGTTACGCTCTACTGAGAAATCCGGGAATTACACGGAGGACCACAAACTCTCTCTCCCCAGTTCTGGGGATCCCAAGCTGTCAGGAGAGCTAAGATCGCTCCCGATCACGGAATGTCCACCAAGACAAGGTAAGAGCAAGGTGCTGCCGGTCTACCTCTCCCAGGGTTCAGAGGGTAATTCCAAGGAGTAAGATGCCCGCCCTCTGTCCTTAGAAGGGGAAGTAGCTACAAGAGCACCAAAGGTCAGACTGGGAAGAGCTGGGGTGGGGGGATAAGATCTAGCAGGAAAACGGCCCTGGGATTCCGTCGCCTAGGAAAAGCTCCCAGCCCAACGCTGGTGCCCGTAGCTGGTGCGGCTACACAGCAGGGGGCCGAGCAGACCCCGGAGAGGCCTGGGCGTGCTAGGGGTGCTGTCTACGCAAACTGCAGGACTGCAGGGGACTCGGCCTCAGCAGCAGCCGGGATAGGAGGCCAGGACGCGGCTCCATGACCTTCTTGAGCTCGGCGCGAGGCCTGGGGTCTGGCCAAGGCGGATGCGGGTAGTGACAGCCGGGTCTCGCCAGGACCTGACCGTGAGCCCCCGGCCTCGGCCTTGACCTTGACGTTGTCCCCGCCTTGGGCGCCGCAGTCCCGGGGCGGAAAGACCCACACCGCGAGCCGATCACACAGCACAGGGCACGGGCGGCCAGAACAAG